GAGACGAGCAAAGACTCCAAGGATGGTGAGGAGGAGAGGAAGAAGAAGGGAAAGAAGGATGAAGCAAGCGAGAGAGCAGCGAGATTCAAGGACGGCAATCGGATGGGGGTGTCTGTCTGGCAGTGGTCTGGTCTTGTGTGTCTGTGGTTTGGAGGAAAGGGGCGACACACGCCTTGTTGTTGGACGCCTTCTAGTCGTGGTCGATCAGCCGAGAGGAGGGGAGGGGAAGCATGTGCAGCCCAGGTCAAGCAGAAGTACTGTATCCGTACACCACTACTCAAGTCTCTACCTACTAAGGCACCTAAGGTAAGGTACGGATGCAGCTGCAGCCCATCCACTTCGACTCCTGCTGGAGAGTTGCTGAAGACCTTCTGACGCGGTTGAGATAAAGATAAATCTGGATGACACGGGAGGCGGATACACGCTCAGAATGCAGAATCAAGGCCTGCAATTGGGGCCTGGAGTCCAAGCCAAGAGTTGATGTGTCGAGGCTATTTGGGGAGAGGCATGTACTATGTAGGGCCGCGTCAAGGGGTCTTGGTTGGTGGTTCATGGTCCTTGGTCTTGGCCAAATGGATGCTGTCAAGCGCGCGATTCTCTCTATCTCTCTCTTTTTTTTTTTTTTTTTTTTTTTTTTTTTTTTTTTAAAAAACCCCCCNCCCTTTTTTTTTTTTTTTTTTTTTTTTTTTTTTTTTTTTTTTAAATACCATCCACAAGGCATATGCAAAAGTTCGAAAGGGGCTATCTGCAGCAAGACTAGGAGAATTATTAAGGGTCTGCTGCGTGGGATCCGACCCGACTCCAGAGTGGCACAATTCGCAGCAACGGACATTTTAAACTTGCTATGGTTGACACCGCTGCGGAAAGTGACCCAGACGGTACCTGCCTCGCGGGACGCTTTGCTGCTTCCTCACATAGCGCCGTGCCTAGCGGAGGGGAAAATGGGAACATGCAGGGGAGTCGACTTAAGTAAGGGCCACCAAGGGTGCTTGGGAAAAAAGAAGACCAGGCCTGCCAGGAAGACACCTGAAGTTTGAACCTGAAGGTGGTGCAGGTGCAGGGAAGGGGAGGGAAGAAAGAAAGAAAGAACCAAATCTACCTTGCCCTGGGTACAGATGGTGGAGGGGGACATGTTCCCTGGACGCATCGAACTGAAGACTTCCCGCACGACTGGCGAATGAGAGGCCACCGTCTCCCGTGGAAGTCACATCTTGCTGGTATCCGTAAGGTTGGGCAGGAATGGATTCGTCTTCATCATTCCCATCTGTTGGTTTCCCCTGACACCGCTGCTTCGTTCTTTGACTTCCACTGCTCACCCGAATTTAAACAAGTTGGCTTGGGGCTGTCGTCGAAGGCACCGCGTGCTCCATCTTGCATCTCGTTCTGTGCCATCTTGATCATCTTGGCTGGCCTCCAGCCACTCACAGTGCGTGCTGCATCTTTCGCGGCGGGATTGAGATGGAGCGAGGGGAAGACGGCCCCTCTCATCCACTTGCCTGAGCACGGCAGGTACGTACCTGCTGCGGTACCTTAGTGTTCCCCTACCTAGGGTGGACTTCCCCATAGTCCCTGGAAAGGTATTCTGCACAGTAGCCAGCTCGTCTCGGCACGGATGGCCCTCGCTGCATCGTGAGACGTCATAGCGGGGAACCTGCCCCCAAGCTACCCCATCTCCTCCGTCCAGTTTCCGATAAAGACAGACGGGCACTGTGCAGGATACATGCCTACCCCCTCAACAAGCGCAAGCCCAATCCTGCACCCAGTTTTGGTCGACAAACCAGGGTGTGACGGTCTACGGCGCTTGCTCTCCAACCTCTGACCTCCATACTGGTTGTAGGACTGGAGTCTCAGTATGAAGGTGTCACGGTGAGGCAAGCCACACTTGCGTGGAAACCAGAGCACGGCACAACAAATGCTCTGGCCACGGCTTGACCTGTTTTACACGTCCTTCACTCGGCCTTCTGTTTCCATTCTCCTTCAGCGCATCCACAAATCCGAGGCGAACTTCGCAGTGTTCTGATGCGACCTCGTCCCGTCTTGTTTCCCACGGAGCGGGAGTCCGACACGTTTGTTTGTCTGTTGCAGCTCTGCGTCCGCCTCCTCGTTCCAGGCGCAACTGACATGGATATCCGACTTCCAAACAGAGCAAAACCTCCTCGTCCCGTCATCGCCGAACGTCACGCCTGTCCATCCTTCCGCCTCGTCTCGGTCCTTCGGCGGTGGGCGCCTCCCCCATCACCTTGACACTCGCCTTGCGACTCACCTCTTGCTAGAGACGCGACGTCAGGAGCCCCCGCGATAAACCCAAAGCTCCGTCATTCAACTACGCTCCTACCCAAGATGCACCTCCCGACGCAGAACCCAGAGACAAGAGACAAGACAACCGACCCAATGCGACCCCCACTGCGGGTAACTGCAGCACCGGCCCCTGGCTCTTGAGACTTGGATAAGGCCATTTCATGTCAACCGCCGCCTCGCTCCTCTCGTTTCCTGCGAGACTCAATCCAGCGTCCCCGTCTAGTGGCGAGCGGGAACTCGCGGCACTTGCTTTCTTGATGCACGTGCAAACGGGGATACCCAAACATCTAAACCACTGGGCGGCCTTGGGATCGTGTCGGCCATGATAAGTTAGCCTGGCATTTACATAACAGTCTAAGCAAGCCGCCGAACGTCATCCTGGCTGAAGGAAGGAAAGCACCTGCCACTCGCGCTGCCGACCTGCTTACGCCCCGAGTTGAAAGTCGCAATAGACAAAGGGACTCCACCGGCTGCAGCAAACACATGAACAACCTGCCATTGAGCGTCACCTCAAAACTTGACAGGACTAGGGCCAGTGGAACTAACAATAAACCTCCGCGCCTAATCTATGCTCGACACACCAGTCCAGAGACGCCTGCACAGAACACACACACCAGTAACAACACTCTCTCGTGTGACCGATCGCTGCCCCATCATTCCCTGGGCCTTGCCGGCCTTGCTTCCGAACTGCCAGCATGCAAATCGAAACCCAACTCACGCCAACTGTTTGGCATCCGCTCATCCTCGCAATCTTGGCCAAATGACTGGAATTCCGGGGTTCGTTCGCGTCTTGATCCCTGCACCAACAACCACATACCCGCCGCATACCTTCCACCTGCCTAATCTGGGCTACGAACCATGGACTCGAAAGTTCTTTGTCGGAAAGACTATGTGTTGTCGAGTCGATCAATCCAGACTTCTGAGTTTCCTAGCCCATGGTCTCGACCTCTGTTGTCCCCCGGGCAGTAATGTCGTCCGGCTATCCTGATTGGACAACCACGACGGCACCGACAAAGGATAATGGAGCAGACCACATCGAGGAGAGAACACGCCAACGACGGACGCAGTTCTGTCACAGTTCGAGGTCAAGAACCTTCTCTTCACATCGGCATCGCCCGAGTCGCAACAGCCATGGACCTTGTTCTGAAGTCCTCAAGGTTTGACCCCCACAGGCGGCCGAAGCTCGAGTCTGCAAACCACTGACTTGCGCGCGCGCTCGAGGAGTCGAGATGCTACCGAATGTGAGGGACGTGCCTTGGGTTTGCAGTAGCGCCCTCCTGTCAGCGATTCATCCATCTCGCACCCAGATCGCAGACGTGTTTCACATTTTTCCACCCCATTTCCGTCCCAGGACGGCAGAGAAGGGCAACGTAAAGCAAAGCACAGCTCAACGTCACACAGCACCGCATTATGGGAGGGCGCCTACGGTCTCCGCATACGCCGATGCGTATCGTACCCGCTCAATACGCAGCGCTGCATTTCGCATCACTAGCATTGATGTTTCTACCTAGATCGACTGCCTGCCTGCAACGCATGGGCAGATCAATCGCCAATCGACGCGCGTGCCCACTACTCTCCCCTGGTGCACGCCGCAACCACGACGTTGCAACCCAAGGAGACGAGCACAAGCCCACCATGCCCAGCAACTCCTCGGACGACGGCCTCGAGTTTCCCCTCGGCCGACTGCCCCGGAAAGTAAATCTAGAGAGAGACACTTGCTAGGAGGCTACGATATGAACCGATCTAGCAACGATCTCCGCATTCTCTTCCTTGAACTTTTCTGACAGATTCCTGACGGCTGCGTTCTCCCTTCTTCCGGCTGATCCTCATTGGTCATTGTACAGCACCATGGATCTGTCAAGGTGCGATGAGTGGTTGACTGAACCGTCCGCGCCTACCGCAGCCTCTCAGCCTTTGGCAAAGATCAACCGAAACGGCGCGTGAACAGACTGCGCAGTCCTGTTTCCAATCCGCGGATCTGTCGCAGGTTCCTGCCTCCGGCGCCCCCCTGAAGTCGCCCTCCGAGACGGGATAGCCGCCCTTGCACTTTCTCCTCTCCCGTCAGTGCGCCAAGACGTAGAATGAGAGAGATGCGACGAAAGATTACTGTGTGCTGCGAAATGATCGGTCAACGCCGTGGCTGCCGTTGCATCCTGATGCTTATTTCTGGAATAATTATGTCAATCTCCCAGGGCAGTGGTGCAAGTCGATCTTACCACTGTTGCCGTTGGCTACCTCTCGAGCAACGTGGTAAAAGTCCCCCAGGCCCCCGGGGCCTCGCACGTCCGAGGGTTTCCGGCAACGTGAGGAGGGGCATGGAGAGGAGACGTCCGGCGATCCTTCCGGGGGTCGAGGACGGCTATGCATGGAACTCTGGAATTACTAGCGAGAGTACTTCCGTATATTGCCGCTTTCTTTTACCCCGCGATGCGACTACTGCACGTCACGTCGACGCCGGTGATACGATGAGCCTCAACGCCGGGCCTCCTCCCTCCTTCCGCGCGGGCCGTTGCCAGCTGGCCCGAACTTCACGGGCTTGCGGCTTGCTGTTGACATGTTGTTGTTGTTGTTGTTGTTGTTGTAGTTGTTGTAGTTGCTGCTGCTACTCAGCCACCGCACAAGCTTTCACGTCTTTCTCACACACGTTTCTTCGTCTCTTGTATGCCGTGCATGATCTCGCAGGACAGTTTGCATCCGAAGAGATGGAGGTTAGTTACTGTGCTCCAGGTGTTCAGCCAAGACCGGAAGCTTGGGAAATGTCGTCACACACGCAACACGGACATGCATTAGGAGAGAGGGGTATAGAGAAGTATAGAAGAGGGGAAAAAAAGGTTCAAGTTTTCATCTTTACTCAGTTGAGAATGTCTACAGATGCCGGCCCTACACGCGGCTATTCTACCTAGCGAGCCTTTTTCTTAATTTTACTCCTTTATCGTCTCTCGTCTGTCTTTCTTCTGAATCCATTACATCAGAAGGAGGGGTATGTGACGTATGAAATGAGACTCTTTATCGCTGCGCGACCTCAACCTCCTGGCTCTCGAATGCCGGCAGGGTGGCCGCGACGTCCTTCCACTCCTTGGAGCCGTCAACCAGGGTCTGGATGGCGGCGATGATGGTGTCCTCGTCGCCGCGGACCTGCTTGGTCGAGTCGCGGTCGCGGAGGGTGATGGTGTTGTCCTGGACGGTCTGGAAGTCGATGGTGATGCCGAGGGGCGTGCCGAGCTCGTCGTTGCGGCTGTAGCGCTTGCCGATGGTCGCGGACGAGTCGTCCACGCGGGCGGAGATGCCGAACTTGCGCAGCTTCTGGGAGATCTGCTTGATGAAGGGCTTGAACTGCGCGTTGGAGGAGAGGGGCACGATCAGAACCTTGGTAGGGGCGACCGTCGGGGGGAAGGAGAGAACCTAGTTGAAGATATGTTAGTGTGCTGTGTCCGTGATTCGCCATACATGTAGACCCAGGAAAGGGGGTTTGATAACTTACACCACGAGCCTCATCGCCGCCGTCCGCGGAGGCGCGGTTCCAGTAGCAGTGCTCAATGAGCGAGTAGAGGATACGGCCGATACCGAAGGACGGCTCGATAACGTTGGGAGTGTATTCCCTGGTGTTCTCAATGCGTTGCCTGAACTCGATCTTGACAAGGTCCTTGCTGATCTTGACCTTGCCGTCGGCGACGCCGGCAACCTCGAGCTCCAGCTCGCCGTTGTCGGTGAGCTGCTTGGCGAGCTTCTCGCGCTGCTCCTGTGTTGTCGCCATCAGAGCACCCTCGACTGCCCTGCCGTCCTTCTTGAACTGAGGACCAAACTTCTTCTTGTCAACCTCAACCTGCCACTCGTCGATGACGAGGGGCTTCTCGCGGCGCTCGCGCACCAGCAGGGGAGCGCCGGTCTTCTTGGCGTGGACGGTCAAGTCGTAGGCGCTGCGGTCAGCGCAGCCGACACACTCGATCCAGCCCGAGGAGGTGAAGAGCTCGGCGTCCCAGCAGTCGGCGGCGTAGTGGGCCATCTCATTGGCCATGTGCTGGCGGAAGCGGACCTTTGTCATGTCGACACCGATCTTGGACAGGAACAGGTGGATGCGGGCGAGGAAGTAGCCGAGGGTCTCGTTGTCGACGACCTTGTTCTTGACGGCGTCGCCAATCTTCATCTTGCGCACGTCGGTCTTGCCAGAGAGCTGGGTGTGGCGGTCGAGCAGGGTGAGCTCGATGTCCTCGACCTCGACGAAGCGGGAGTGCTTCTTGCCGCCCTCGGGGTCGACAAAGTGCTCAATCTCGGCCATGAGGAACTCGCGGACTCTCAGCAGGCCACCTCTCGGGGCAATCTCGTTTCTGTAGGAGCGGCCGATGGAGGCGGAGGCGAAGGGCATCTGCTCCATGTTGAAGTTGAGAAGCTTGGCAAAGTTGAGGAACTGGCCCTGGGCGGTCTCGGGGCGCAGGTAGCCCTTGGTGTTGCTGGAGGGGCCGATGGCGGTCTGGAACATGAGGTTGAAGGCGACGGGAGGGGAGGGCTGCTCGGCGGTGGCCGGGTTCCTGAGGTCGTACTTCTTGATCAGCTCGCCGAGCTCCTTGCCGTCGTAGTTGTCGATCTTGGCCAAGACCTCGTTGTACTCTTGGACGAGGGCGTCGTCGAGCTTGACGGCGATGGTCTTCTGCTTCCTCTTGGCCTTCTTCTTGGGGTCATCCTCTTCCTCGACCTTCTCGCCGCGGGCCTCCTTGTCGCCCCTGAGGCGGGCCTCGAGCACATCCTCGACGAAGTGGTCGGCACGCAGGATATCGCCGTTCTTGGGGTCCTTGCACATCCAGTCGGCGAACTTGTCAACGTGGCCGGAGGTCTTGAGGACTTCGTGGGGGGTCAGGACGGTGCAGTCGAGCTCGAGCATGTCTTCCTCGAGGATGAAGTGCTTGCGCCAGAGGTCGACGATGTTGGCCTGGAGAGCGCAGCCGGGAGGGCCATAGTCGAACAGACCAGCGACGCCGCCGTAGATCTCGAAGGCGGGGGTGAAGAAGAGACGGCGGCGCAGCATGGCGTCGAGCGTCGGCCGGTCGAGGGGCTGGCCCTTGAGGGTCGTCGCGGGGGTCGTCATGTCGTCGTCGGCGGCGGCAGCACGCTTCTTCGTTAAGACTTTGGCCCTGTTGAGGTGACGGGAGGTGGTGAGGGTGCGGTTGCGGTTGCTGTGCAGCAAAAGGTTGTGGTGGGAGGAAAGTGAGGTGGACGTGGAGGAGGGGGAGGGGTAGTTCTGAAAGTGGGCAAGTGAAAAAGCGGCCGGCCGAAGTGCACAGAAGCTAGCTGTGGAACGAATAGAAGACTGGTGTGCGATAAAACGAAAGGGCTTCATCAACGGCTACGTTTTATGGTGGGGTTTGGGGAGAAACGTGAGTCACAGAGCCAAGGCCCTTTGCAGTCAGAGGGAGGCTGCTGATATGCGTCCCCCTTGGAGTTCAGAAGGGCATCAATTCGAGTTCGAGGAGCGCGATGCTGCGTGCTACGATTGTTGCTGCTGCTGTGTCTGGATTGTGACTCTTAATGTCGTCTGCCCTTTTTTTCCCACCCCAGAAAATTTCATTGGTCCGTCAGTGCCTGCCGTGTTGCGCGGTGCGATCGGCCCAGCCCACCTCAGGTACCGGTCCCGCCAGAGCGTGAACGGCGTCAAGCATTGGACCGGGTGAACAGAGAGAAGACCAAAAAGAAAGTGAAGGGGAAAGCGACGGAAAATTCAATTCGCCGACAGACACCCCTGGCCCCCGCGGGCCCGGTCCCGTTCAGATGCATTTGCTGCAGGGATTGGTCGGTGCCCCGCCAAAATTTCTCCAAACTGATTTTCACCGAGCGTCGACCAGGACTCTGATTTCGACTTTTTCCCGGCATCTCAGCACGCTGCGAACCAATAGACTACGATAGCATCCCCCCTTCCCTCAATTGACACTACAATACCCGTCACACCCGCGCTGTTCAACAAATAACTAGGCATGGGCTTCTCCAAGCCGGGCAGGTCTATGACGGCCTCGCTCTCGACCAAGACCTCCAACAAGCTCAAGCGCAAGGAGCTCTACGTGCTCAACAAGAAGGAGAAGGACAAGGAGCAGCGCGAGAGGCGCTTCCGCCGGAAGAAGGAGGAGGACAAGGACCCCGAGCTCAAGGCCCAGCGCCTCGCCAAGAACCAGCCAAAGACGCTCGACCAGAAGCGCGTGTGGGACGATGTCGACGACGACAGCCTGGGCATGCAGGTGGACGTGGAGAAGCTCAAGAGGCGGAGGATAGAAGAGGAGGAGGCGGCGCAGAACGCGGCGCTCGATCGTGAAATCGACGAGGAGGAGGGCGACGACAGCGACGCAGACAGCATGCTGGCGTCAGACGACGAGGACGACGAGGAGGCGGCGGAGGCAAAGAGGGCGGAGCGCGAGAGGAAACGCGAGGAGAAGAAGCGCGCGCGGAGAGACAGTTCTGCGGCGCCCTCGACAACTAGCACAAACCTCGACCTCACGCCGTCCTCCCTCGCCCTCAAGTTCCCCATGCTCTTCACCGACACCCCGCCGCCCGTCCCCAAGGTCCTCCTCACCACCTCCCTCAACTCGACCCTCCACCACGAGGCCAACATCTTCCGCTCCGTCTTCCCTAACGCCACCTACGTCCCGCGCTCCGCCCACCGCTTCGGCCACAAGTACTCCCTCCGCGAGATCAGCAAGTTCGCCACGAACCGCGACTACACCGCCGTCGTCCTGCTCAAGGAGGACCAGAAGAAGCTCACGGGCATGAGCATCGTGCACCTGCCCGCCGGCCCGACCTTCACCTTCTCCATCACCAACTTCATGGAGGGCAAGAAGCTGCCCGGCCACGGCAACCCGACGAACCACTACCCGGAGCTGCTCCTCAACAACTTCAAGACGCCCCTCGGCATGCTCACCGCCGCCCTCTTCCAGCGCCTGTTCCCACCCCAGCCCGAGTTCGAGGGCCGCCAGGTGCTGACGATCCACAACCAGCGCGACTACCTCTTCTGGCGCCGCCACCGCTACGTCTTCCGCGAGAAGCGCGAGACGGAGAAGAACATCGTCACGGCGGAGGGCAGCGAGATGAAGGGCGTCGAGGGCATCCGCGTTGGCCTGCAGGAGGTCGGCCCCCGTTTCACCGCGAAGCTGAGGAGGGTGGACAAGGGTATTGGAAGAGCCGGTAGCGAGGGTGACGACGCGCAGCCGTGGGAGTGGAAGGCCAGGATGGAGAAGGACCGGAAGCGCTTCAACTTGTAGCCGATGTTCATCTGGAGAGCGAATCGCAAGAGTCAGATGCGATTTCTTGCATGTGTTTGGTCAGGGACTACCCCGAAAGGCGTTTTTCTGTTGCATTAGATAGAGACCGTATCAGACGAATTGGAGCAGGGTTAGGTGTCATGTCTCGGATCGATGAGGGGGAAAAAAAAAGTTATCAATTCATTGTTTGTGTATAACTTCGACCATCATATTCCCTAGACGCCGAGCCGTGAAAGGTTTGGTTTCACACAAGAGGTATCATCCATAGTACACCCTTTCTAATTCCCACAGACCCCCAATCTACAGAACGCCGTCATGTCCTGCGCTTCAAATGCACAATAAGTAGAACGAGTTATAAAATGACGCAAGCCGCGCATGTCGATGGTTTACTTGCGCTGCTGCTTCTGGTGCTGAAGCATGACGACAGAGTAGCTGCAGTTGGTTAGCCGCATGCACGTGGTCGGTGTAGGTTACTGAAGAACTCACCCGACAATGCCACCAATAGCAACGAAGACACCCAGGACCGACTTGTCACCGATGGCACGACCGGAGACCATCCAGCCGAGAGCGACAATTGTACAGGTCTTGAGGTGGCCGACAACGGTGCTTGAAACGGGGCCGGTTTGAGCGATGATGAAGAACTGAGAAATGTTGATGAGAGAGGCAAAAGCACCAGACTGAGAAAATTAGCAGCTATCCTCGGATGTCTCAAAACAGTTTGACTCACCATGCCAATCATGAGCCAGCGGTTTCCGGGCACAGTCATCCAGTCGGGGAACGTATCGACGAAGGGAATGACATAGAGCAACAGGAAAGAGGCAATGGGCGCCTGGTTGTACAGCAGCTGCATGCTGGACATCTGGAGCTTGCGGTGGTAGCTGGCAATCCAGACGGTGTAGAGCGACGAGGCAAAAATGCCAGTGAAGGCGAAGAACACGCCCAGGCTGGAAGTCGTCTTGATCTTCGAGTCTGAGGTGGGGAGAGAGTCATAGTATGAGACCATTCCAACGCCAAGGCAGGCCGGGATGAGAGCCAGGATCGCATTTCGGGGCAGCGTCGCCTTGTACAGAACGAAATTCATCAGGGCGACAGTCGGTGTCAAAAGAATACGGGCGATCTGATAAAACGTGACGGAAGAAAATGCCAGCGACAGGTTCGGCAGAATAACGTTCAGGCACATGGCGATAGACAGCGGGAGCAGGTCCCTGATTGAGGCCCGGCGCGGGGTGAAGTAAGCGAACATGGGTCGCGAGAGAATGTGAAGCGTAAGGAAAGTGACGAGGAAGTGGAAACTCGCAAAGGTGAGCTGGCACAGCTTCCATTGCGGGTCGGAGAAGATGGCCTTGTTCGTGAAAACCTGCTCTCAAAGTTAGCAAACGCAGCTCCCTCGATGTCTCTGAGGGTTTCCCCAAACTCACGATTCCAATGGTGGCCAAGGTGTTTACGACCATCCATACAACGGCACCGGCAAAGCTGGCCTTCGCCTTCGGGGGCTCCTCTTTCTCATTGCTGGAGGGCAGAAGCTTCTCATCCTCCTCAGCATCGGCGAGCCTCTCCTCGTCGTTGAGCGACTTGAGGTTTTGAACACTATCCTCCATCGGATCCAGCTTGGTGAGCTCGTGAAGGGTCGCGGTTTCGGTGGAGGACGAGGCGAAGGACCCCGCTCGTTCTGTGCGCTGGTTGTCGGCCATTGTGAGATTTTGGTGGATTGAGAGAGTGGTTAATGAGACCGCGAGAGTGAGCGACGATGGGTGGTTTGGGGGCGTAGGGGGTGCGAATCGATGATCATCGACGGGTTGGCGGTCCTTTTTCAGTCAACCATGGAGCGCTCGACAGCGGTTACACGAAGGGAGTCTCGGGCATGTGCTGGAATGCAGCCAAGGGAGAAAACTCGTCTTGTCAAATTCCGGAGACGGTCGCGCGGAATTCACGGAGAGGAGTGACGGGTGCAGATATAATGATACACATGGAAAGGTCCGAGGCGTTCTGCTTGCCAGGTCTCGGCGGGCGGTGGTCGCACCTACCTAGTACCCCGGGCTGAAAGCGGCAGGGGTAGCAGAGTGGAGGGCAGGGGCAGGGGTCTGGGACGTGGAAGGTGGGAGGGAGACGACGCAAGTCCCTCGCCGGTCCACCGTCCCTGGGAACCTACTGCGGTACACCACGCTCACGCTGGAATAAGGGCAGGGGAGGGGCAGGACGGGCGGGTGCGACTGAGGAGAGCGAGAGCAGGTCCTGAGGCGGGCAGGGGCCAGAGAAGGGGATTAGCACGCTGGCACGCAAGCTCCGGCGCTCGTCAGGCCTGTCCGTCTCCTCAGGGCTCTCCTCCATCCAGCCTAAGCTAAGCCTTCCGCTGCCTGCCCTGGTCTCGCCTTTTTTGCCCTAGGAGCCCCCGACGGAACAAGGCGACTTGGCCGCCGTCCGCGTCCCTGGGATTTGGGGATTTAGGTAGGGCTTGTTGAGACGGACGGGACGGCAGTGGGTGGAAGCAGGCAAGCAATCGTTAGATTCAGTTTGGGGGCAGAGAAATGGAACTCGCACCAACGCGCGAAATACAAGCGACGGCAAATAGTCTGACGGCACCATCTTCTCTGGCCACGTACTGCTCGGTCTCGTCGCTGCTAACGACGAATGGCACAACTGGAAAGTCACCAAAGAAGTACCGCCCACCCCAGGCTAGGTAATAAGGTACGGATACCTACACTGGATCGCCATCACAGACCGCGCGCCAGACCCGAAGCCAACTGCATCGAGTCGTCCCTGGACAAAAACTCTTGGGCTCTCGGCTTACTACGTGCAAGACTGGCTCCCCATGGCTTGTTGATTGGCGTCCACGGCGTCCCGGGCTTATTTTGCTTCTCCCAGACTCCCAGCCAGTTTG